GAGCGGAGAAACGCCGTTGACTTCTATACAACATATTTGATGATAGACTCGATGTTATGAGCAATGAATTCCAGCCCTCTCTCAGAGAGGACTGGGATCTGAGGGATAATCTCCGGTCAATCTCTATCGACGCCTGTTGTTCGTAGAGATATCTCTATAATAAACGGATTTCATGTTAATTAACGGGATATTCATAAATCTTCCTTAAAAACAAACAATAATTATTTGTTATAGTTATTAGTTATAATTATTATAACATATAAAACACAAATCGCTTATTAATTGTAATAATATTTTCATAACTGAATTTTAAGAAATAATAAAATTTAACTACAAATATAAAAATAAAATATAATTTTAAAACAAATAAGTTTTCATTAATTAAAACAGACTGCAAAATATGTTCAATTAATGCAAATCAACGTACATTACAGTACAGCAAATGAATTACTAAAATACTGGCATATATTAAAAGCAATAATTAATTACTGACAGACCTGTAGGAGTCGTTTAAACGTTTTTCTCAGTGCTTTACTCTTCACTCCATAGACATATCCGTTGAATATCGGAGTGAATGATAGGATGAGCGTTGAGACTGAGGTCCAGTAGTTGTCATATGGCTTATTGGCGAACGATTTGTAGGCATATATCGTATAATAAGGGAATGTTAGGAATATTAGAGATCCGACTAATTGCAAGATTGCTAGGAAGGCGTGTCGACCCTTGTATTTGAATAAATAGCTGGGACTGGACTGATGGGTGACAGTCGCCTGGGCTCTCATCGTGATCTCATAGATGGCTGAGACGATACGGTGCCGATGGTTGTGGGCTATGGTAGCGATGTGTGCGTTACAGACGGTTATGACAATCACCGGCGCTATGAATGCACTCAAATGAAACACCATATAATAGAACTCGAGGTAACTTTCTTGAGTCCGGGAACAGATGACTACACACCCGCTGTAACTCGTGAGGAATCGATAGCCACAGCAACCCATGAATGGCGGGATAATGAATGACAGCAAACAGATCCATATGGAGATCAATACGACGGCCGTCTTTCGCACGTTTATTAGACGCGTATAACTCAATGGTCTTATGATTGCGATATATCTGTCGACTATAAGACCGCAAATCGTCCAAATGATACAGAGAGGCAGTACTGTCCAGAGAGCGCCCTGAGCTCCACAGACCCACTCGTCCACATCGGGTCGCGAGACCAGCGACGAGTTGGTGGCCAACAACTGGTCGATGTCTGGTATCCTTTGGCTCAGACTCATCGGTGTGTTGGCCACCAGTATTAACAGACAGATCGCTGTGTCGGCCAAAGCCATGAACAGCAGAAGAATATTGTTTACGGTTAGTTTACAACAAATTAATACGAAAAGTATATATCCGTTGAATATGAGGCCAACGAAGGCGACCACTGCCTCGCAGATCACGTTTAACGTATAGATTGGGTCGGAATTTGACATTTTTTTTTAATTTTCTTCGCCTCTCGAATCACTGTATTATAACAAAAAATACTATACTTTTTGTATTGACTTTTGATATTTTCCAAACAAATTATAACAAAATTCTCGTTCAATAAGTTTAGGCAAACATTTTTTTGTTCGCAATAAAAAGCGCTTTTATGTGTTGAAAGTTAAGTTCACGTGAAAATGATTGGCAAACATTACCACAAGATATGAACAGCAATTCATTTGAAGTGCCCTTTTTTACGAACAATATAATGATGTGATCGTAAAAAAGTGAGGTGAGAGTCAACACGAGTGGTGTGTGTGAGAGAGATATATGGAGAGAAGGACTCTTCTTCGACCAAATTATATATTAATTTACAAATCCAAGAGTGAGTCTGACTTTATTCCCGTACATCATTCCTCTCTGTTCTCTCTCGCATTCTCTCTCTCTCTCTCACTACTCTCCCGGTGCTATACAGCCAGTGCTGTGTAACGCAATTGTGTGGTGTGTATGCGTACAGACAGTCAGACACTGGATATTCATATGTATTGGAGAGCCCGGAGAGAGAATCGCGAGAGAGAAAAGTGCACTCAAAGAATGTAACTGTTGTTTGCATTCATAGGCAATAGCATAGGAATGAAGCGTTTGAATGCATGTATTGATAGGTATACTCCACAGTAAGCACTGGTGTTCACTAATTGGTAGAGTATATGAAGTTTTAGGCACACACTGTATGAACGATCAAAAGTTTTTTGATTCAAAAGTTTTGAATCAAAAACTGAAAGAGTTGTCCGATTTGTTGGCGAATACGCGATACAAATGGCTTTTTCTGTTGGCGAATGTGTTCGCGAAGAAAAACGTCTGAGAAATAGTCACTTCAAAACAGGTCAACACTTATTGTTAAATTCAGTGAACAGAACAGAGCCTGTTGTGAGTTCTGGTCCAACACTCTCTTATTATTTAGTATACATGCATATACTCAACATATACTGAACACTACTCCGTACACCGTATAGTGTACTGCAGTATAAATATAATAACCGTTAGTTTAAATATGCTTAACAAGTATTTTCTGCCAGTGTTTTTGGCTGAGGCTGAGGGCACACAGAAGCTCACGAAACACACACTCAAACTAAAAACACAAAACTTTTTTTCTGTTGCAAAAAAGTTTTTTTCTTTTCTTTCTGTCGCAGAAGTTGTTTCACATGATTGGCCGCACAAATACCTACACTCTATGTGTGTATGTATTTTACTCGTTGTGATTGATTTGGATCGCTATTTGAATGGCATTTAAAAGACAAAATCAATTATTAAATAAATTTTGAAACACATCTCATAAACGTATAGCAAATTAGAAGTGCAAAGTAGTAGTCGTTGTGAGGAATGGCTTTCCAACACTTGACTGAACGTTGGAAACCAAAGCGCTTTTGAATATATGTCAGTGAAAGTGGCACTACGTTTGTGTTGAGGGCTTTTGCTTTTAAATTACACTTCTATTATATTAATAGCCAGAAGCTGTTCACTATTTCATACTCCAAGCCCTGCCATACACTATACCAAACCATACCATACCATACACTTCACTCCATATGCACGCCAACCAAATAGTTCTCCACTTTTACACCCAATTCTTTGATCACTTAATTGCAATCCAAATACCGTTTAAACCAAAAAATATAGTTTGAATCGAAAGGCACTTCTGAAGGGAACGAGAAAAAAGAGTACAAACTTTTATTTATTTAGTTTTTGAAACATAATTGAATACTCGAAACATAATATTAAAATCAAATTATATAATATTATTTTTAAAATTATAATAATAACTTAAATGCAAAATTTATTTCAATTGCAGTTCTAAATACTATACAATAACTGAATTGACATTTCTATAACATATAAAACAATTAGGAAGTGATAAACATTAATAAAATATATCATAATAATAATACAGATGTATCTCTCAATTAATTTTGATACATAAAAAAAAGTTGCAAATCAATTGACTAGAAAACGGGTCAGTATTTTATGTTTGAGAAGGGATTGGGCTATGAATTGATTTGTATAAATTTGGATGTGTTTGGATGGATATCGTGTTCGCAGTCTATTTGCTTAAATTGATTGCAACTAATATTTGCATATCATATGCCAATCATAAGCACTCATGTATTTCATTAACAATCGATAATATTATATATACTTTTATTTAATGAAAACGTATGCCTTATTCTCATAATCATAATAAATTCAGTACTTCATAGCATATACTGTACGCTATATTAATATTAATAGCAGTTATAAGTTATATTATAGTTAAACTATTGCTTTCTATTCTCAAGTCAAACATCGATTTTGTCTACAACTTCTGCGGACGTGTGGATCTGTTGGATGTCAAGGACAGCACACCATTGCGTTTATAACATTCATAATATATATTATATTTATATTTCATCTCCATTTCGTTTTTAATATCATTTTTATTTCATTTCTGTCTATTTCGAAATTCTTTACACAATATTTTATTAATTTTATTTTAACATTAAATTCTATGGAAAGTAATGTCAAAAAGTAAGATATAATGTGAAATTGGTTTTACATTTACGGCTCACGAAAACATGAATTATCTCCTGAATGACGGCTCTCTTTCTGTTAATTTAATTACTTATTTTTTTCAATTGTGTTTTGAGTATCACTTCTGAGAATAACCTTTTAGTTTATTTACTTTATTTTCTAATATTGTTTGTTATATAATAAACAATAATAGTAAAAACCACGCAATTATTAGATTAAAACATAAACTATAAAATATTGCGAATTTTATCATTAATTAGCAGAAAAAATAATTGTTATGACAAATGATGGGAACACTTGTGATGTGTATTTTATATACAAATTATTAGTCGTACGAAAAGTTTTCTCGTTAAACAACAACAAAAATATTTTGACTTATGATTTGCGGCTAATCTTATTAGGGGTTAGTTATGGCACTTCGTCTATAGCCTTGTCCTAAACTCCACTTTTCATTTCTTCTCGACGTTTGATTTTCATAAGCAAAACAGATAAACATTTTTATAGTAATAATGCAAAAGAGCGTAATATTAATTGAATATTATTCAAAATAATTCACATAACATGTCAAGGATTATACACACATTGGTGTTGAGAAATACACTTTTGGCTGCATTTCTCTCTCTCTCTCTCTCTCTCTCTCTCTCTCTCCCTCTCCCAATAGTTATGATAGTATGGTTTGCGTTGCGATTTAGTTCACAATTAAAGGAAAAGGATCTCATAATTGCATTACATTTTCACTTTTTTGTTATTCACTTTATATTTTATAATTTCGGTCCTAAAGTATGTCATTGACTCTCATAACGAGTTAAAACCCAAACAAACAAAACAACGAAATAACAATTTGACTGAAAAAAATACTAACACACTATTCACCAAAAAATTATCCTAAAAAATGTTTTATTGTTATCAAACTTATAAGCGCTATATTTGTGTTTCAATGTTTTAAAAATAATATGTTTTATAAATAAAATTACATTAATGTGGAGTCTATGGGGTGTAGGAAGTCTGCCTAAAAGCTAGCAACATGTTTTTTGTTGCCGTAACACCAAACAATTAATCTAATACTTGAAATGTGTGTCTCAATAACAATGAAATATTTGCCAAAATACTTGTACAATGTTTTAACTTTACAAAAATGCTATGAATTTTAGGTTTTACTAATATGTAACTTTACAATATTGTAGCAAACTTTCAAAACCCAAGTTTTTCTATTCCTTGAAATTACATTTAAATTTTAATTAAAATATATAATTAAATAAAGAAGACTTATTCATATGAATTACGAAAATATTAACCGTAATGTATTTAGTAATTAAAGTTTTAAATGAAAATTAAATCATTAATTGGCTAAAAAAGGAAACTAAGGCTTAAATTACTTAATTGTGAGCACGAATTGGACGTTATTTTAGTATTAATGTAAAGTTTAATTCACATTTTATTTAACTATTTTTTCTATTTTTACACATTTGATAAAGAAATCTTTAAATCAAAACCAAAATTAAAATTAAAAATACTTTATATATAACTGTATACTAAAGGAATCTTTAATAAGCTACTAAAAAATCTTAATTTTTTAAATTAGACTATTTTTTCACAAATAAAAATTCAAATTTGCATATAATTGCCACAAAAGATATAATTTAATTGCAATCTTATATAAAAAGACAGTGAATCGGACATTGAGTCTAAAATAATGGCAATAATTGCCACATTTTGTTGTCGTAGAAATACTAAAGTATAGCATTTATAAAACCAAACAATTATTATGTAATACAATATACATAATGTTGAGAGAAATGTGTTTTAAATTAATACGAAAATAAGCAAAAAACATATATTTATGTATTAAATGAATAGTTGAGTGAATTCTTGTCGAAACTCGTTCTCCAAACAGTTCCGTAAAGTAAATGAAATCACGTAATGATTATTGTATAGCAATAAAGAAATATATGGAAAAAAGGCTTTTATAGGAAGAGTTGTTTCAATTAATTTATTGTTCCGGAAAAACCTTGAATTTTATATGTATTTCACAATTTTCTTAAAGATTTGGTGCATTTTTTTGTTAGAAAAAAACAAACTTTGTTTTATTTTTATAATAAAAAAGTTTGATGTATTTTTAATATTTTTAAAATTATTTAAATTCACAGCAAAAACAATTTGGTGTTGGAATGCATTTTAACGCTAAAAATACATATAAATCCATAAAAATATAAATAAAATATTAAATCATATTCACTATATTTATCGCACACAACATTGCCCTCAGATTTATGAATTTTTATGCAATCTCTCAAAGCTTTATGTAATCTGTGGGTTAAATGACTCGGATATTAGTTATGCTATAATATCACTGTTATTGACAGACATTATGCGACATATGATTGAAACCAATTTAAACGCAAAAATAATTTATACAAAAGAGAAATGTTGTGTTTATTTTCGTGGT